AGAACATATATTATTATATGTTCTACATATAAAATAATAATTTATTTGTAGTATAATATATTTATACTACAAATTTTATAAATATTATAAATATATAAAATTTTTAAATATATAAAATATATTTTATGAATTTTATAAATAGTATAATATAGCGTACTATAATAATGCATACACATCACTTTCTCCTCTCTCCTTTCCTCTTTACATTTTAATTCCTTTTATTTTTATTCCACACTCTTTTTGCACTATTATAAAAATAGGCTTACTTCTGGTCCTACGTTAATAAATGAATAAATAAACAAATCATAAATCACGATACATATTTGTGAAATAATGTATTCTTCGTATGAGGAGTATATCCGAAATAAAATATATACAAGAAATATACCTAAAATTTATTTCCAGGCATTGTATCTTCACGTTCGAACACACACTAAACACCGAGAAATTCGTAGTCTATTGACTACTATATCTATAAAACTACATCGAGTTATGTCATTCGCGTAAAACCTTGGCAAAGACGAAGGCGAAGGGATCAAGGTAAAATGAATTTGCAAATGTTCGTATCAGCTTACAATTCTAATTTAAATGTAATAATCGTATTCATAGTGGCAGATTAGGTTACGTCGTAAAAGCTTTGGAGAAGATAGAAGTGAAAGGGGATAAAGCAATACAGATTTTTCCAGCTTGTAATAGCTTACAATTCGAATGTTTGCAATTTGTCTGCAAATTTCTGCCAAGCGAGAAGGGAATACTTTCATCGCGTGATATTTTCATCGAAAGTCAATCAAAATGTGCAATATTTTTATTCGCGATACGAAGATACGCCGATCTAAGGGTCCACCGTAAATCTCGCGATTTTTCTCGAAAAACAGCTATGAAATTTAAAACATCGATGTTAGACATTAAATCTCAAAGCACTCAATCATCCCTCTTTCGCTTGCCATGTCTCGTGCCTTTCTCCCCGTTCTATTACCTCGCGCCAAACCATAGATAGCCAACCTGTATCTATAATTCACGGCGAAGCTGCTAATCAAGATAACGCACTAACCAATAGTAATATCATCGTACGCTATCGTACAAGCACGCGAAAAAAACGGCAGATCCTCTTCTTGATTCAGCGCCGCAAATGCGACGTTAAAACACGTCGTACACCGTCGTTTATAACTTTAATCTCACTCGCGAAAGTTATCGACCGATCAAATGGACGGCCGAGTCGAATAAACTTCTAAAAATGATTATGGAATATTTTAAGGGCCCGGGTAACTGGTTCGATCGTTCCATCCCTGGTATATATCATACCCTGTCGAAGGAGATTAGAGATATTTAAATAGGTTAGGGGATGAATTTTATGGCCTACTACAAGAGTTGGAAAAATAATTATCGTTTTCGTCGTGTAAAATCGAAATTAAAATTTTTCTCGTAGAAATCAGAAATAATTTGTTTATCCGTGATTAAAACTAATGAATTGTTTTGAAAAATTGAAGTATAGATATAAATAGTACCGAATAATTTCCTGGCGATAATGTTATTAGGATTATGGATTTATAATTGTAAAATAACTAAAATAATGTAATAACTATGTAATAACTACTTAATTCTCCTTTAAATTCTTGTATTATTCAAGAAAGGTATATCTGTCTTTGAGAGTTTCTCAAAGGTACGCTATCTTTGAGAGTTTCTCGAAGGGACGCTATCTTTGAGAGTTTCTCAAAGGTACGCTATCTTTGAGAATTTCTCGAAGGTACGCTATCTTTGAGAGTTTCTCGAAGGTACGCTATCTTTGAGAGTTTCTCGAAGGTACGCTATCTTTGAGAGTTTCTCGAAGGTACGCTATCTTTGAGAGTTTCTCGAAGGTACGCTATCTTTGAGAGTTTCTCAAAGATACTCTTACGTACGTGACGCAGTTCGTCTAAACCTCCAAAATTCTTATCGAATGTTTATATATTATTGATTTCTGTACATAACTAAACTTATCTTTTCAACAAATATAGAACGAGACGAGCTTGTGCATTTTGAACGGTCAATTATACACTGACCGTATCTCATACAGGTTTTGCATTAGAAAATCAAATAAACCAAATACGATAATAAATTTAAGAAAGAAACATAAGCGTCATACCTTCTAGCATTGGTCCATACAACGTACCGGAATTATCTTAAGTGAGCACCAAACTCCCGATTCATCGATCAATCTACCCAATTAATCGGCGCCACTATCACAGAAACTAACCTAACGATCGCGGTATTAATCCCCAAACGTCTAGTTAAAATCGTCGTAATTACACCCGAGAGAGAAAGAGAGACGGCAAGAGAGACGTCGCCGAGGAACCGTTACAGAAGCGAAATAAATTCTGCCGGTGCCGGAAAAACGGCGGAATGGTTAATTAAACCGGCGCGCGCTCGACGTCGAGTCGCATTCCGGCTCGGGTCGTGCGTGTTTTCACTCGCCGCAACTTATCGCGGAATTCGCAAATAAATAATCGGATACTCTAATTAAAGTGGGCTGATTCCCGTCCGCTTCGTTAACCGGGGGTTGAGGACGTCGGGAATTTATTGGACGCGTCCATCGGAAGAAAATGGCTCGCGTCGCTATTGGGCGGAGGCCCGTGATAACCACGGGGCCAACGATAGTCGGAGTTATGGCTAATTACTGGAACACGAGCGCACTCTTTACGGCGGACAGGCCGTCCGCGATACACCGAAAGAGTGCCTCTGGTGAGCAACCGCGAAAGCTCGTCGACGTGGGTGTGACTCCGCGATAAGGAAGACAGCTACGCTCGGAGAATCTTCGTAACCCGTCGAGAGGTCTCGGCGAAAAAGAACGATCGAAGATGGCGTCGAGTTTGTTCCTGACAAATTGTATCTGATATACAGGAACTCGAGCGAGAGTCGATTGTGACTTGGCCAGAATGCGGCTCCGGGCACGTGAAGCACGGAACCGTGGAGGAAGTTCAAAAGAGCCGACGATTGTTTCTCTTCTCATGGGATTATTCAAGAGACAGGTTTCGTCGGTTGGTGATAATAAAGCTACGAAAGAGACATTGGATTGTCTATCGGGGAAATCTTGACGATGTTCTTCGCGCGAATCTTGCTTTCAAATGGGGATACTTTCGACTTTCAGGGCGGAAGACTGGTGTGAGATGGGCAGATTTAGTGCTGGATACTGGTGAACGTGTGTAGGTGTATCGTAGGTGACGTGAGTTGAGATATGCCAGAGATGTGGGAGGGGAAGGAGGGTGGGATCGATGAACTCGTGTGTATGTCGGTGCCGGGGGTATGAATAACGTGGTTATGAGGTACAAATGAAGTGAAATATGATGTGCAAAATTGATTAATTTCTCTAATTGTCAACGGTAACGAGGTTTCAGATTTTTCAATTTTCAAATTTTTCGATTTTTGAACTTTCATAAATTTCTACGATTTTGAATATCTACGCGGTATACGCGAAAGCTTAAATAAGCGCAAGAGCTCTTCGATCCTGCCAACTCACGATTATTTCGAATAATCGCATGAGAATGAATCTTAGACAACGCTAAACCTCATAAAATATCAGATAATCACGTTTAGTAAACAGGTCGTCGTAAATTTACGATTATCTGCACCGTAAGCACGGTTTTACGCGTTCGCAAATACCCTAACACCTCCTCTAATATGAAATACAACGACCGAATAACCGCTGAAATTAATCCGAAACTGGGCCACACAACGCTACCTACCGCACTAGTAGTTAAACTCCCGTTTGAAATATTTATCGTTCATTGGATCGAAGCTCCGATCTTCTATTCGATAAAACGCTGTGGAAAAAGACCGTTGACCGCTAGCAATCGCGTAAACATTCCCGGCGTTAATACCGGCCTAACTAATTCGACCAATTATCGTTTCCGGATATCTCTCTCGCTTTTGCCATTATCACGAACAGAAGGAACGAGACAGAACTAGCAGCTATCGAAAGGAAGGATAGGTACGAAACGTTAAATTAATCTCGCGTGATCGAGCAATTAAAGATTATCGCCAAATTAAAATACCGAGACACAAATATCTTCAAATCGTGGAATAAACAGGGATCACTGAGATTCTCTTGATTTTGACGCGGCGACGCGAGGTCG